GCAGCTGAGAGATTTCTAAAACCCTTTGAAAAACTAGTGCCACAGGATGTCAGAATTCTACATTTATAAGGCCTTTTTACTGCTTTTTTCAGTGATTTCCCTGTGTTTTGAAATATAGATAAACTGGAGTCACTTCAATAAACAGCCTCATTTACAATGGTAATTGAACTGATTGAGGTGTAATTTGGGCCATTTTGAAACAACTTGCGATCCTGCAATCTGATTGGCTCTCACTGGTTCAATTTATCCACCAATCACACAATTTTTTATTCTTAGTCGCATCTTTTTGAAAAAGACAATGTTCTAAATGTTCTACCAGACATGTTGAAGATCTTTGAATTAACAAATATTATTATACTTGGGGTAATTGGAGCTTAGGTGAGTGCGTTTGATGTTTGTCGGGGTACAGGTAGCAGTTGAGGGGGAAGGGTAGATGGTTCGCACGATAGAAAAATGATTTTACTGGATATTTGAATATAAGGGTTACATACAGAGAAACCTCTATCTAACCTGTGCATCATTATGAAAAGGTTGTGAACGGTAGTGATATTGTATGCTTGGTTTTAAGTACCTGAATTTGAGGAGACAGTGGCTACAGTGTGTCAGGTACGCAGATAGAACTTTTTGTTTTACTGCTGCAAGAGATGCTTTACAGAGCTAAGTTGTTGAAGGCTGATTAGCGCTTTAATAAACTGGGTTTTTTTTGTTGTTACTGTTGAATAGCAGTTCTTTGGATAATTTTCCAGTTCATTTTTAAGAGTATCCAATCATCAACTTGTTGACAAAATGAATGAAAGTGAATTTACTTTTTTTTTTTAAGCTTTCTAATGTGAATTCAAATTTCACACTGACCTTGGGCTATCTTAGCCCAGCTTTGGAAAACCTGGGTCAGGTATTGTTAAAAAGCAAACAGTTGACAACTTGTTAGATGTAATCATTAATTCTATTTATTGGGAATTCCACAAGTAAACAATCACTGAAAATTACAATAAAATGAAACTGTTACTTGCAAGTCTTTTCAACCTGGGTAAAGACCAAACACTACTTTTTCGGGCTGAACACTGGAACACAATAAAATCGTGTTTGAACAGGAACATGTATATGCTGGCGAGAAATAGCGGACAATTAAGTTATTCTTTGAATTAACAGGAAATCGAGTATTACATTCTGTTGAATATGGTGACCATTTTGGAACTAAACCAAAGTGAACATGAACATTCTGAATTGGAAAAAAGGATTTTTGTACTTTGGTTGATAACAACAACATTTGGTGGAGCTTCAAATAGCCTCAAGTGAAACTTTTATGAGCTAAAAATTGTTTGTGGAGCCTTTAGAACAGCTCAAAATACAGACTATGATATCTAACATTTATTATGAGTCAATGGCCTCGAGAGAAACTTCTATGAGCTTAGCAAGTGTTTGTGGAGCCTTTTGAACAGCTCAAAGTACACAATATGATATCTGGACAACATTTAATATAGTCAAATAGCCTCAAGAGAAACTTCCATGAGCTTATTAGAGGCCATGTCAGAAGTTATGCAGAAGCTAGATTTGATTTCCAGCAGATCCAAAATAAGCTCTTCCTCTGATTTTATGTCAAGGTTAATGCTGGGTACAAGTGCAGCCAGTTTATGCACCTCAGGATGAAAGAGTGTAAGTGCAAGTTTGTCATTTACGTTGCATGTGTTCTGGAAAAGCACTTTTAAAAACCACTGAGATTCACAAGAGGATCATGATGTTTTCATTCTCCTCTTGCAGGATGGACATGTTGCAATTTTTCAATTAGATTTGACTGAAACCTTCTTTTTGCATAATGCACACAAGATTTTTCGATGTGTTTTGAATGCCAATTAATTTGGCTGATATTTTGTTCCATGTTGGTTACTCCATCTCTGTTGTGACTTGTGCCAGGTTTTGTGTAAAAGGAGGAATCTCTTTGTAAAGAAACTGCTCTGACTTTGGAGCGTTCAGATAGCGGATTCCATTGGTCTCCTTGAGCCTTAGATTTTGCAAGGCATAAGTCTTCTGGTCTTCAAGTTTGTCACAATGTTCTTGCCACAGAAAAAGTTTTATAGAAGTGGTGTGGTCAACGAGAATGATTTCTTGCTTTTTAAGAGGATGGTCATAACGACTTTTAATTGTTTCCACTCTAATGATGCTGTATACCTTGACTTTAACTGGCACAACAGCTGCTGAGCTACACAACTCGGTAGATTTACTTTGTGGCACAACGGCCGCTGAGGTTAACAACCCGGTTTGATACAGGCGCCAGGAGTCGCACACATTTTCCAAAGACAGTGACGGACCATGCTTAATCCAAAATCCAAAGTAAAATTTTACTGAGCATGTTGTACTTACTGCCTTCAGTAGACCTTCAGCAATCTTTTAGACCTTCAGCATGAAGGATGAGATGAATGAATGCCGAGGTCACAAATCCCCACGTGAGTTAGTTCTTCAAAGTGAGGTAAAACGTAAACAAGCACCTCAAAGCGAGGCATATGTGTGTTGACGATGACGAACCAAAGCAATCTCATGAGGCAAAACGTAAGCAAGCGCCTCAAACAGAGGCAAATGTGTGTCGACAACGACAAACCAAAGTAATCTCGAAAACAACCTCCCTTATAAGTTGCACAGGACACCCAATAATGCACATAAATCCCAACACAAATTAGGGATTGCGTTCTCGTACCTCGAACGCAACAATTGCCTGGGTTCTACTATCAGCGACCTCTTCCCCTTTACCCAAGGGGAGCTAATGAAAATTCATCACACTCCCAAGTTGTGAAATATATAGAAGTACTGGAATTCAACCATTAAAGGTTTAGGATGCAGCTTACGGAGTAAGAAGTCGCCTGATACAGCGAACGCAAAACGAAAATTTAGTTTGTCGACACAAGTTCCGTTGAAATATCACCCGACTGTAGTCTCTGAACTTAGGTTCAGCTTTTCACAGCAGATGAATCATTTAATCAAGCATAATTGGGAATACAATTATATATATTAAGAAAGAGTATTATAGTTTTCAAGATTTAGCGACGAATATTGCGACGCTTCGACTACACGCTACTGATGTGAATGTGCTTAGAATTTCATGTGGCCAAAGATAATAATCTATCATTATTTCGCCACAATGAAAAAAAAAAACTTTTAATGACACGACTAATACATATTTCGAGCTTACCTCTTATTCTAACGCCGTATCAGAAACAGAAACAGTTCGCTAGGGGCTTTAGGTAAATTTAATCTACTGTATTTCTTACAATACACAAGATGGTAGTTCGTTTATCAGAATAACTAGATGTCGTTCGACAGCTTTTTTACTCGCAAAAGATGAAACCGTTACCACTTCGTGTTATCTGTGGAGTTATATGTTTGGTTAAAGAAATAAAAGTTTGAACAAGGGAATAAAAAGTGACTCACCTTTCAAGTTTGTTGCTTCAACTCATACAGTCGAAAGCGTCTCAACTCCTGCTATGGATTATGGGAGCAAAATTTCAAACTCAGCGAGAGAGGGGTGGAGGAATCAAAGCGTCTTTTTCTCGATGTGCCCTTTCGTCCGTATGATTACAACTCTTTCCTACGGTGGTAAATTTCGTGTATCAGTAATGTATCTATGGAATGAGGGTCGGTATTACGGTATCTGAAAAATGTATGCTATATGACGAGGTGAGGCTACATAAAGAAATCAACGGGAGGGGGCTGGAAAGCTGTCGCTGAACGATATTGACGTAGAACAATGAAAATAGAAGCGGTCAGAACAAAATAGCCTACGAAAAAAAGTAAGTTTCTCAAATCCTTTCACTGGGATTCCAGAAAACCATCCGTGAGTTCCTTGTTCCCTGAGATGACAACAAACCGCGTGGGAAAAGTAGAAACTTCCGTCATCTTCTTACACGTTTAAGGAATAAATGCATTTCCGCTGCAAAAATTTGAAAATACTGCTCTCTGGCACGATCAGACACGACCCTAAAAAAATTGTGACAGTTTGCTGAAAAATAAGCTTATAAAAAAACGCTGACCTTAATTTTTTTTTTTGAAGGGGGGGGAGGGGGCAGTATCATTCGCATGCTGATTCAATCACGGGTGACTTCTCTTGGTGATAGCGTGATTGAATCAGCATGTGAATGATACTGCCCCCTCCCCCCCTTCAAAAAAAAATTAAGGTCAGCGTGTTTTTGTAGTTAGGACGGTAGCTTCCAATGTGGACGGACAAAGGAATACGTAAGTTAAAAAAAAAGGCAATAATTAGTTGTTTCTAGCGCTCTGAAAATTGCACAAATTGTCGAGGAGATGCAATAGACATTGAAAACGCTGCAATTCCTAACCCTTCAGATGCGACATAGACAAAGTAACGGTGTCTTAAAGCAGACCGACCAATTCCTCATCCAAGGCATTTAAAAATCACTAAGTGAAGCACAAATGGCTACACGTGACAACCTGACTCGATCAATATTGTAGTTGAGCCGCTCTTGCACAAATCTCCTATGGCCTTTTCATTTCATCTACATTTATCAACATGGCAATCTCCTGTTCCAATTATTTCAGGACCATTTAGCCGATTCAGTCCCAGGCTCTAACCGAAAACAACTCGCTTAGCTCCTGTGCTTAATTGGGCGTCTTGAATCGAAATCCGTCTACGACATTCACTAGGCAAGATTAATCATGAGTGAGAAGGGAAATTTACTCAAAAAAAATTGTAACAGTTGGCTTGAAAATAAGCTTAGAAAAAAACGCTGACGTTAATTTTTCTGGGGGGGTGGGAGGAGGCAGTATTATTTGCATGCTCTAGAATTCCATTACGCGTGACTTCTCTTTATGATCTTTGCAGTTTGGACACAGGAATACTTAATACTGTATAAATTGCACAGGAAGAATCGATCTCCGAGCACATGGAATGTATATAAAGTTCAGCTTAACAAAGTCACATCAATGAAACGAAAAGCATTGCATTCTTTCTGTAAGCACGCTTCAAATAAAATGACTCGAAACATACAGGCGAATTTTGGAAACGAATGAATCCTTTATTGCCAAATACCAGAAGCAAGGCTCACAACAAGATCTTTCTACTTGAGAAAGATCATGTTATAACTGACTCAAAGAGTATAGCTGAGAATTTCAATTCCTATTTTACTGATATAATCAATCATAATGTTCAAGATTTGGAATTTAATGCACATCCTAGTGTGTCATTGATACGCAACATGGAACAGCTAGACGACTTTGCATTTACTCCTGTTGACATAAAGTACATACAAAGCATTCTGGAACAATTGAATGCAAGAAAATCTGTTGGCATGGATAACATATCTTCACATCTGCTAAGGCTATCTTCTCCAAGCATTTCTACTAGAGTTACAAAGCTCATCAACCATTTTATAAATACTCAAAGTATACCTAGAGAATGGAAAAGCAGTAATATTACACCAGTATACAAGAAAAGAACTAAAACAGACTAAGCCAATTACAGACTGGTTTCCGTCCTAACCACATTATCAAAAGTCTTTGAAAAAGTTATCTATGATCAGATCTATCCAGTTATGTCACCTCTACTGTCCCGCAACCTATCGGGATACATGAAAGGTCATTCGAGTGCAACAGAAATTTTGAAGACTACGCAAAAAGGCGTGAAATAAAATGACTTACCGCTCGATTTTTCTCCTTCGATCTACATTTGTGAGGTTCTTTCATCCCAACAATCACTCGCCTTGGAACAAGCGGAAGTGTGTAGGCGCGAAACGTATCACGGGAAAGCCGAAATAAATTAAATTAAAGGCACAGAGGGTGGGGGAAATCGAGCGTTTGTCCCCTGGTCAGTTCTACCTCTCCAAAACAGCTAGACATGTAAATATCGATGACAACTTATTCGTCCAGAACATGGTACCATACTGTTAACGGCTGCTTTTACTTTTAGACTGCAAAACTTCAACTACACCTGGTGACCAACATGATGCAGCTACGCTGCTTGTTTGTTTACGGCTGAGGTACCGGGAAAATCACCCAGCAGAATGACTTATGAGATCTGAGCACTTTAGACTCACCAACTTCACATGCTTAGACACACACGCACACAAACACAAACAAATAAACAAAAAATATGTCCATTGGGATATATGAAAGGTGGCGTGATACCTTTTGACAATTACATTTGCGTGAATAAAGAGTAACGCAACTCGCGTTCACTTACAGACTTGCGAATAGTGCGTCCGCAGCAACTTCCGACAACAAAGTACACTACAGTACTTAGGACAGGATGAATGTGTCATCGGAAAAATTACAAACGGCAGGCGTAACTTTGGCGAGCGAGTTCTCACTATTTTCTTAGCGAAAATTATGGCCGTCCAGTCGTTTATTTAAATACAAACGAAGGGCTGAGGAGAGAAAGAAATTTGTACCAAGGGGGTGAGCGGCAGTGACAAAAATCTCCAAATTTAACATGGCCAGTCGAAATAACGATCGCACTTCTTAGCGTTAACTCGCCCTGATAAGATACATGCACTGCAGGCTATAGGTATTCATAAGCCTTTATGGGGTGAATAGGAACGAATGCGCACCAGTTCTACAGAATTCTAATGATAAAGGGAGCTGCGTACTGTGGGGTGTATTTCGAGGTAATTTGGTTTTATCAACTGAATTGATAATGTAAACTCGCCATTGTCGAGAGTTTCTGAAACGCTTCGAGCGTTAGGCCTTCCTCAGAGCGAATTGTGGCCAAATTATAGTATTAACTTAGTTGATCAAATCAAATTAAATTATTAATAACGGCCTCTCTGGAGGAATAAAAATTATCTCAGACTCCTGTAAGTTGTAACACTCACTCCTGACTTATCGAGCCAAATCATCAGTTTCCTTTCCTTGTGGAGGCGGGGTTGGCGAAGTGGTGGTCATAAAATTATGTTATCATTAGGTTATCATTAGTCAAATTTCTTCAAAAGATGGGAGCAAAAAAAAAAAACAAACACGTATTATGCAAAATACTGTCGCATTCATTAAACTCATTAAAAAAAATCATTTTGGACAATTTTAAGGTCCAAAAACACAAGTGAAACTTGTTTGTGACTTGAAACCGTAACTGAGTCTCCTTTCTAACTGCACTGTAGCATGTCACGCAGGGGTTTTGCGTGATATCTTGAGGGGCGCGTGGGAAAGAGACTAAGACCGTCACGCAAGACAGACGGCTTCACAAGTGTTAAGAATTTCATCGAGAAAACGTGGTTAAAGAGTTCCCTCACGTTATCTTAAGAATCAAGAATGAACTATTTTAAACATTTGCAACAGGTTCCCCCTACAAAAAGCCTATCCTGATTTACGCTTGATTTCTTTCTTCGTGGTCTAGTATAACTTATCTCTTCTGCAATTGTCTCTAACAAAGTCCGCTTTCGTTGACACTTCACACAATGAAGTGAAATAATTAAGTGTATAGGTCAGCCAGTTTCCTTTTCGAAGGATGAATACTAATTGTCGGGTATCTCTTTCAGCGGCCCACAACGAATTAATTTTGTCTCATAGAAGGTACAAACCATGGACGACGCAATCAAATGGATGACCTCAACATCAGTGGTACATTATAAAAACACTTTGATGTCGCACATTTTTTTGGCTTAAACTCTTTCTTTACAGTTTAAATTTTTATTGAATTCAGTCTAAGAAAGAACAGCACATGACATAACATAACACCAAAGAAGAAACGTTATTCAAAGGAAAATTTACATGGGTTCAATTCAAGCGTTTACTAAATTCGTTCTTCGAAGAATTATTTCTCCAGGTAACGAACTTAAGATTCTTTCTATATTTACAGTTAATCACTTGATAAATCTGATATGTTCTCCCCTAAAAATCAGTTATTAATTAGGTAAATGCTACTCAGGTCACTTGCGCGCTATTAGATGCATCAAACACATAAACAAAACCACCTTGGAGATTATATGCCAACAATGTACAGTAAAATTGATAGTGATTTATGTCTAATACAGAATTGTACAAAATGACATGTTCTGATTGGTCAATGATGCCTAATAATTGAACAAAATGACATGTTCTGATTGGTCAATGATGCCTAATAATTGAACAAAATGACATGTTCTGATTGGTCAATGATGCCTAATAATTGTACAAAATGACATGTTCTGATTGGTCAATGACGCCTAATAATTGTACAAAATGACATGTTCTGATTGGTCAATGATGCCTAGAATCTTGTCATTTTCATCCCACGCAAGATGATTGTATCTGCTGACGCCCAATTTTAAAAACGGCCGAAGCACTACCGTGTTTTTTTTTTTAACTCTCCCTCTCTCTCTCTTTGAAAACACATCGAACGCTGATAATCACAAACTGACAACTTAGATTTTAAATCATTGTTAGTTACATTTTCAATGTCGAAGAAATTTAGGGTACGCTAAGCTAGGGCAATATCTTTCGTTTCGGAATAGCCACTTCATCAATGAGACACTAGTATGGCACTTGTAACATTTCGGTCCTTCTCCACCCAATCGAATATCACTACGGGCATATTTCACGTTTTCGAAATGAAAAAATATCTGAATGACCCAAAGACTTTCGAAAGTGACAGGAAATATAAGGGCCAAGATTCTAAGCAAAAAAGGAAAATCTTCTAAGCAACTAAAATTTCAAGTTTCTTAACATTCTCAGAAAACCCATGATTTCTGATTTTATCAGTGAACATGACTGTTCATTACACTTTCCGTCATAACGTTTACATACTAAAAAAAAAAAGATTGATCTGAATTTTGCTCCATGATTTTTAACTTTAGCCATCTGAAAACCACAGAAAAAAGGAAGCAGAAAATCTGAAAACAATTCGACTTCTTTGAATTGATATTTTCGATAACTGAGGGTTACCCGTAGCACGAATTCATTTTAACTCTTCCTCCTTCTTTGCTCCACAATTAACAGTACAGTAAGAAGCCTATGCCAAGATGTGGCCTGACATGAATAACACTTCGCCGATTTTGGTGATGTCAACAGCCTTTTTCCGAATTTCATCAAATGGAAATTCTTTTCGAATTCTCAAGGCGAGCGTGTATTTTTCGATCAAAATGTCTGGTATGCAAACTTGAATTCCACTGTGTGTCACCATATTCATATAGCTAACAAAGTCATCGAGGGATTGTGCATAAGAGACGGAATTTGTTTTTACATCACCTAGCACCTCTTTAAATTGACCTGACGATTGTTGCAATTTAACTGAGAGCCTGAACAGTAAATTATAATCGTTTCCTCTTTTCTTCGAACACAAAGGGGTGGCGGCATACAACGTCCCTGCTGTCGTGAAAAGGTAATTAACAAGAGACAAAACCGGTTCAAATGCAAGAAAGAAACCACTAATGCTACCAGCCGTGCATAGGATAGACACAACGAGTCGCCGTCTAGCAGAGGAAAGTTGGTTGCTGAAGTATTCTTCTTCCTTCGTTTCAAACTCTTGCAAGGTATCTTCGATCTCTTTCGCCATGTAGCGGAACTTTTCAGTCTGGTGGAAAAGTTCTCCTTCCAAACTTTGAATCCTGTCACATTTTCTTGTTATTTCATCCAAAAGTACCTCTGATCGCGACCCATCCTTGGTAAAACCTTCAACTGCTCTTGGCACCTTGAAACAGAGCAGTACGATGTGATAGATACAATTTTTCTTACACATGTCTGCATAAAGAAACCTTGATTCAAGACTTACTCCTTGCTTTGCAAGCAAATACATTACAATTCAAGATCAGCAATCAGGCACATGTTAAATAAACAAGCATGCACTATCTGCATATTGCAAGACAGCACTGAATTAAAGAGGGCGGTGCATCGCGCAATAAATTTGCAAAGTTCAAAAAGCGCATTACAATATAAAATTATCAGAATATTAACTAAAATTCATAAAGCGGGCAAAAATTAAAGGTCTACTCATGAGCCAATCGGTTCGCTGCTTACCGAGACACGTGACACTCCAGCCTGTTTATCGGACCCTGTGCCGTTCTTTGATGTTTGGTATTCTGTAAGAAAAGAAAACCGTCATTCAATGCGTCCTGCGCAATATCGCCAAATTCACGCTGTTAAATTGTAATTCATAACAAAGAAGACGATCATAAGGCAAGTGCGTTGCATGCGACGACTCCAACACAGGCTTTTGCATTGCTTTTAAAACCCTCAGTATAACATGCTGCCGCGAAGAAATGTTGCAATTAAAACTGTGATGTATACCTTACTACACGATACAGATTTCCAATGTGGTATAAAATAAAGATAATTGGAAAAAATTCCTTCATAACTGACCTTTGATAGACTGACAGGCACCTAATAGATCACTAAGACTCCTAATCTCTTCTACCACTGTGTCTCCAAATTGGTTCATTTTCTCCATCAGTACATCTTTTGTCTCTCCAACTGCACTAGTGAGGTCTTCCACTTTTTCAATGATCACCCGGCTAGTTTCTTGTACTTCTTCTACAGATTTCTTTACTTCCAGATCCTGTCTGTACCAGTCGCACAGTTCCTCTACATATCTTTCATCCTATGCTGTAAGGGGATCCTTTAGGAACTTATCAATGGCTGCCTGCCAGTCATGCTTCTTTGAAGGATAGATTTGGTCTGCAATTCTCACTAGGGCTTCGCTGATTTCACGCCATAAAGTTAAGAACTGGAAGTCATCTTCTATCTCCATGTCAGACTTCCCATGACCATACACTGTGTTACGATAATACTTGATTCTTGCTAAATCTGCTTCCAAACTGTGATCTGTAATTGACGGTTGAGCATCCCAGCCTGTGACAGGAGGGGTGAGGCTGCAAATCGTCCTCAGTAATTTAAAGAGGAGAGTGACATCACAATCTGTTGATTTTCCGTACACCCCGGGGGAAGGGTATAGACAATCCCTCTGTGGAATAGTGAGCTTTGCTGCTTTGAGCAGCTTTTTGGTGGCTGGATTTTGCAATATTGTTGGAAGAACAGCTGGTGGACATCTGCTGTCAAAAGTTTCCCGTAGTAGTTCGGTTCCTCCACTTATTAACAATCGAGTTAAACGGTGGAAATTATCTTTACCATTCGTCGAACGGAGTATTTCATTAGGTTTTGGAGCGACCGCCATTTGAAAAGAACAAGTGTATAACCAGCAGTTTTATAGACGATGACTCAAATTTCACAGAGATTTCTGTAACGAAAGAGACATGCGTTGAATAGCTAAGCGCTCTCTCTGAGAAAATTATGCAGTGGTTAGAACTGTGAACAGAATCTTGGTCCATACTTACAAAGTACTCTCAAGGAGAAGCTTGACTGGGTAGTAAAGAAAAGAGCGTGGAGCTACAAGTATTGACCTTGTTTGTTTCATCACCGAACGCGGTTACAGGTATTTAATTGAATTGAGTTGTGGTTGCGTGACATAAAGCTACGATCGCCTTTGTTGAAAAACATAGACTTACCTGGAGATTTTAAGCCTTTTTAGTTAATTAAGTGCTAGAAAAAGTGTTTTTGTACATGTTTGTTGGCTTAGTTTAAATAATTAGTGGGCTAGATAGCCGAAGTAAGTTCCAAATGTTTTACTCTATTTCCGCTCGCCGTAGTGAACCAAAGATATCCATCGACATGTTGGCTCCATACTGAGCTCCGTAGATTTTGCGCTAAACATTTCGACGCAAAACTCTAAGTTGGGAAAACAAAGTGACCTAAACCTTGAAGAAGTGTTTCCTTAACCTATCTCCTATAACATCGCAATTTCTTAACCTTATCCACTGAATTTCTTTCTCTCGATGCATCCCAGTGAAAACGATCAATTGAGCGGGGGAGGTCAGTCGATCCCAAAGCTTTCTGATACGAGGAAGTTCCTCACCAAAAAAAACTCAGAAGAGACCAGTTTTACATAACTTCCATCCAGTTACTTGTAATTTAATAATTGAGCTAACTTGCTATTAATGAGCCTTTCTCAAAGAACCCAGATTTCTCGAAGACAGTTGCGTACTAATATACAGATCTAAGCGATTTCAAAATGCTGCAAAGTCAGTACTTTTCTGAGTTTTCTCGCTTTGCTTAAGTGAAATCTCAACAAGAATAATTTAAGAGATCTGTTTAACATCTTTATTCCTTCTTCTGTGAAAATAATATATAACAAAGCATCTTACCCCGAAAGTTTCCCCAACTTGTCGCCAAGGATGTTTTTAACTAAGTTTCATGACAAAGTGAAAGCGGAAAAGAAAGTGCGAACGGACTCACGGGAAAGCAAGAGTAATATAGACTACCGTTGGGAGGGTAGGGACAATATTGGAGTGATGATTTCTCAAATGACGGTTGCGAAGCGACCAAGTTCAGTCCCAGTCTGGAAAATATTCTTAAACATCCAACATCTGATGAGATCGGCTTGGGTTGTTGGCTCAACGAACTTGTCATGTTTCGTCGTCTAGAAAATGTAAGGTTTATAGTTATACACAGTATCTCAGAACTTGCGTGACAATCAATTAGGAGTGATACTGTACGCGTAAAATGATCGAGGTCTTTTCCGAGAAAGACCGGAAGTCAAGGAACGCAGGGCATTGTGGTCTAGATTCAGAACAAATAAACCCGCGAAAATGAATGCGGAAAGGGAAAAGTTTCACAACTGCGTTTTTTATCATGGATAAAAACTTTTCTCAAGTGAAAAATGATGAACTGGGTGCTTTTCTTCAAAGACGAGGTATTCCCTTTCACGACAGAAGAAAAAATGAGCGAATAATAATAGCTCAAGCAGCAAAGAATTTGGCTTTTCCTCCTCGGCCGACACCAGAAGAGCTTAGAACGAGCGTTGTTCACGACAACTGAAAATCTCTTAAGGATAGAAAATGGCATCATTAAGCTTCCAGATCCAGAGAAATTACTCTTGGGATGGAAATCGAAACTTGATAATCTTCCCAATATTTCAAGTGTAGAAGTTGTTGTTTACATTGACTAACGTAAGTTTAAAAGCGTGCGTACTCACTGCTGCCTTTCTTGTGTTTTTAGTGAGTGCATAATGACAAATTCTCAATTTAGTTTAGCTCCTTAGTTATTTTGGGCGACCAGCAACTGTATGTATTTTAATTTATTTCTTGTGTAACTTGTAGTTAAGGTAATGTACAGTTCAAATAAACCTTGTTTCAACATGGCAACAATGAAATCGATGTTTTTTAAGTTATGTCGAAGTTTCATTAGTGTTATCAAAAGCTGATTCTCCAACGTCACTTTTCTCTTTGGACCAGGTTTATTTTTATCATAAACTATAGTAGTTCATTGTATTTGCTGCTTCTTTTACCTCGTCAAACGCCCATTTAAAAAGTGAGTAGGATGGTAGGCCAGTGAAAATTTTCGCCTGATCATCACGACCTTTAATAGGATCAATACCAAAAATGATTCTTGACTTTAGTTCTTCGATTTGCTGGTCTTTTTCTTTAATAATATGCATGTAGCTGTCCTTGACTGTTTTCAATTCTTCTTTAAGTTTGAGTAATTCTAATTCGTACTGTTCCTTTTGAGTTAATGAATTAGATTCTTCATCTTCTACATTCTGCACTTTAGGGACAATTTCTTCTGCTTGACTCACTTGAGAGGCAATTTTGGATTGTTCCTGTCTTTCGGTGGGACTCTTCCTTGTTTTGTGACCACTTGAATACCCCTTAAGATATTTAGAAGGGTGGCGAGAATTAAGTCGAGGCTGTCCAAACTCAAAATGATTGCTGCAAACAACCGTTGACTTGAAGAATTTGAACCCTTTGCGGTTTAAAAGATTCGACCACTTGGTATACCAGTCTGGTTTTGGACAACTATGAAATCTGATGGTGGCATTCTGGCCTAGATTTTCTTTTACATGAGGCATGATTTTCCATCTGTTGATCGAGAAATATTGATAAAGTTGAAGATGGAAACAACATTCCATTCTCACAATATTTCTTCAAATAATTTTCAAAATTAACCTTTAACTATCACAACTTCCTTTTCTTTGCATCGAACTTTTCTTTGGCGCGAATCGAATCGCACCAAACTATTTGTTTAGAACAATTCGTGCTACGATTATTTTATTCTTTTAATCCTTTATTCTTTTATTCTCTTCCATTGTATATTGTTTACACTTTTTCGCATATTTTAGTGTTCGCCACATTTTATCGTCTTCAACTTGCTTCAACATATTTATGCTGATTTGGAAAACTTACTCGCTTGAAAAAGACCTCTGAGAGGTCGAAACGTTAGGACTTCTTAGCGCTAGCTTTTATTTCAAAGTCGATTTCTAAGAAACTACTTATTAAGACTGGACCCAAATTGACCCAAACTCATCCAGATGAGATGAAACTGAGCTGCCCAGGAAATGAGTGTATACAACATAGCAGTTACCTTGATGTCCCTTACACCATCTCTGTTTGAATGGCATCTGGCAAAGAGGTTGGACACCATGCTGGAAACAGTGTCCTACAGACCAGTGCAAGTTGGCTGTCAAGGCAACAAAAGTTTAGTTACTAAGCTCAGTTACTAAGTTACCCAGTTACTAAGTTCAGTTACTAAGCTAAATGTCGTGCAAAGGGAATTTAAACTGGATGACCAACATTTTATAAATGTTTCATTTTTGAGGTTGGAAAGCTTTCACTGTTTTTTGAGTCTGAGGGAAAATACTATTTTCTTCTGAGCAGGGTTATCCCTTTACACTCCGACATCAGTCTGCTTACTTTCCATGCTGTTCTTTGTAAGGTTCCTAAAGTGCTGACAAGGAGGATTTTTTAGCTAAGCTTCCTTAGTTGTAGATCATTTCCATCATTCTTGTGACTTTAATGTTTAACTCAGCGGTGATATTGTGAAGAGAAATTAAGTGTTAGCCACTCATAGATGTGAAAGGGTTTGCATGAAAGCTTTGAAGTTTAAAACAAAGTTCTAAGAAAACAAGTTCTAAAAACTCACTGGTTTCCTATTGTATTGAAAAGTCCAGCTTAATGTTTGCGCTCATTGCTCCAACTCATCCCACTTATCCAGTGAGACCATAAGATCAGATCTTGAGAATAAAGAAATTGTTGTGTTTCAGAGCACGATGGCACCATTGCAATTTGGTCCTTAAAAACCTGTGACCATAAGATCTGTAACAGTTATTGGAGAGCCCACTTGAGGACCCAAATTGATCCAGATGAAATGAAACTGAGCTGCCCAGGTGTATACAGTGTATACAGCATAGCAGTTACCTTGATGTCCCTTACACCATCTCTTTTTAAATGGCATCTGGCAAAGAGGTTGGACACCATGCTGGAAACAGTGCCCTACAGACCAGTGCAAGTTGGCTGTCAAGGCAGCGAAAGTTCAGGACTCATCTAGTATCTGTTATGTAGAACACAGTGGCAGTGTCCAGCCTTTGCCAGTGGCATGTGTCTGTGGCACCATGTGATGTTTCAGGAGCCAGGAAGAATCTCATTGGCCAGCTACCTGTGAGGAAGCTTAGGAGTTCAGGCAGAAAAATGCATGCTATGCTCAATTTGCAACAAGGAAGGAGCTGATTAAAAATGTACAAGTGAAGGGCTGTCCCTTGACGTGTTATTACCCTGCAGAAAAGGATCTTGGTTCTAATCACACATGTATTCAACTTATGTCTCTTTGTTCAGAAAATGTTAGGTTAACAGCAGTCAAGACAATGTCTGACTTTCGTATCAGAAGTTCTTTCATTACTTAAGATGTAATAATGCATATGACCAATCTTGCACAGGTCTTCTTTTTACAAGTTTTGTTTCCTTTTTTTGTTTCTTGATTTCACCAAACGCAAAATATTTAATAAACATAATGACATTTCATTTGAAAGAAATTGCCAAACAAGGTGAACATCACCATTCAACCATCCTAATGTGGTATGACAATTAACTCAGGAAGAAACAATCTTCACACAACACTAATAGTTGATGAAACAGTTAAAAGGTTCTAATAAATGTGGTCGTGCTGACTGTTTCTTGAAGCTGCAATGTTAGTGGGGACAAAATTTGTCCCTAACATTGAAAAGGTTTTAACTCTCCCCCACCACAAATAAGAAAATTCAAGTAAGCAAACCTTGATTAACAATAAGCATAAATACATAAATTCAAGTTTCATTAGGCATCCGTTGTCACTCGTAATTTGAAAGCAGTCTCAAGTTGGTGTCCTCAGAGATCCCTTTGGATAAGCTTTCAAGAGCAGTTTGTATTGGTGTGTCCAAACCACAAAGCTTATATGAGTTTTGATGCTGGCCAAAGATTATGCCAAAAGCTTGAAGATCTCCATCTTCATTTCTTTCAAAGAGTACTGCACCAGAATCTCCTTCAGTAGCAAACACTTTTGCATGACCAAGATCAAATGGATGGTCTATGCAAAAGCAGTTCTTTAACCAAAGACTGTCACATAGAGTTGCTATGTCTTTTTCACAAGAGTCAAAAGTAGTAGTGGTAGACTCTGATTGCTCTCTAATCCCAGTTCTTTCCTTACCACTTTGACAGAGTTTGACACATTTCAAAACACTGACCAATCCCTTATTTTGGGCATTCACTTCATATGAGGAAGTACTGAGAAACATTGATGATTGCACATGACGACCAGACTTGGTGAATCCTGTGGTGCGGCCACTCTTGCACAGTTCCCCCTGGCTTTTAGTCTTGAACTACTTTTCCCACTTGGGTGAAGTCCTGTTCCAATCACTTCAGCTGTTTGACTCAGCTGTAAACTATTTATTTCTTTACTAGACAACTTAGCCAAGGCAGCATCAATGTAATACTGTTGACCATCAGTCCATGTCACATTATGAGAGATGCCAACAGAATACCTCCCTATCACTTTGAAAAGAGCCTAACCAATTGAGCTAACTGGGAGGCAGTACACGAGAGCCTTCTTTCTTTGACATTTCACACCAAAATATCAGTAGACATTTATTTTTCCATACAGTACTCTATACTTTTCCTAAAGAGCTGGCCAGGAGGATTTCATGAAAAATCACATGCTTCTTTAGCTGGTGATCATTTTGTTTGTTCTTGTGACCTCAATGCATGATTCCAGGCTGACATTGTAAGGAGCAATTGGATGGTAGACACTCCCAGTAGTCAAAGAGCTAAGATGACAAAACATCAATACAAAGGAGTACCCCTAAGCTGTTATTCTTTATCACAACTTCAGAACTCAACAATGCAAGATATCCATAATATAACAGAAAAAAAAAAGTTTAAAGACTTATTACACGATGTTCTATTTTTCAGGGGGGTCACCGGTAAAATAAACCACCTGTGGTACCTCTTACTACCACCTAAAATCGCTTAGAATTCTCTAAAAATTCAACAAGAAAAAGGATTACTATACCAGTTTAAAAAATCGCTAATAGCAGTCATTCTCACAATGATGGTGAAAATTGATCACAGAGCTGATAAATTCTAAATAAACTCTGCTCCAGACTTAAACTGGAGTATACACAACTTTTCTTGAATACATGTAGTACACATGCACAATGGCCTACCTGGTTGTTTTCAGTCTGACCTGATTATCAATATTTTTTACATAGCTTTTTACTAAAAAAACTTCATACTGTACATAGCTCGCATTTATTTAGTGATTTTTGTTAACATCGAAGGGTTAACCTTTAATTTTCCTTTTCACCCGGGTATCCAATCAATGGAAATTGATGATTGGAAAACCAATCGATCAATTGATATCAATCAATAAAATTAGTTAATTGGTATAGATTGGTATTTGTCAATCGATGATCAATCGATAACCACAAAAAAAATCATTCATCGATTGGCACAGGACCTCGAGACAGACATCGCGCACACTACCTGTCGACCAATCATCCGCCATTTTTAGGAAGCATTGGGGATGAAATTAGTAAAACAATTCCAACCCAGACTTCTCAGCGCAAAGAATATACCCTGTTGCATGCGTACTCGAATTACCCAATTGCCCGTCATTGCCTTTCCGTGTAATTATAATGAAAGGCGTCCGGGCAGAGGCTTTACTGAATATAAGGTGCATCGTCAAAGGCTCCCATCTTTGCCATTTTGAGGTGAACGTCGGTTAAGTGTTCACTGCAACCAAGAGGAGGGGAGAACGCAGAAACACGTTTAAAGTTGTGAACCATTGTGTACAACTCGGCCATCTACAGTCCCAGCTCGTGGATCCTCTTTGGCCACTACAGGCAGATATTTCGGTGTTGGTGAATTTTTTTTATAAAAACTGTAACAAACAATCTGAGCAAGCAAATATGAAATTAATCAAAACACATACATTGTTATTTCGGATAAACTGGATTCCCATGGACGGGCTGTTAACGTTAAAGAGTAAGAAGAGAGATTGTTCTCCTGTTGACATGAAAATGAATGGTGTTTACAATTACTGCATAGAAAGTGTCAATTCCGTTTCCACCAATCTACAACCAATTGATACCAATTTATCTATCAATTGGCATTGATAATCGATACCAATCGATAACCACACGAATCTTCGCCATCGATTGGTCATCGATTATCAATATCAATCGATTAATTGATATAGATTGTTATCAATTGTGAACGAAATCAATTCCATCGATTGGCTACCCCGGGTTTTCAAGATATCTTACTTTCTTTGTATTTTCCTTATCTTAAATAAATATCATGTCATGGTGTCATATTTTATTGCACTCCTTAAGGCTAATGAGCACGAGTTCCCACGAATACAGAAAAAAAAGACGTGTTAAAAATTTGAACCGTATCTTTAAGTATACATTTGAGTAAAACTTGCCTTGTTGATGGTCTTCGTTAGAGTTAGCTCCCTCGTCCACCATATTGGCAAAATGCAAATCACCATCCTTACTGTTGGTCAATAGTCCTGGACACTAGGCACCAGGTTTAGTCTAATGCATACCCCTCCTGATCCCGGGCATTTTACCTTTTGGACAAAAATTTTGTTGTTCCACCTAAGAACCGGATTTGATATTCAACTTTTTTTTGTAAAAGGCAGGATTAGGGTTTTGAAAGACAGTTGTCTTAGCAAGGCAAAATCTGTTATTTTTGGTTCAAATATGAGTAAAAATAACAACACTTGACACTAACACTGTAACAAAAGTTTTATTGTGAGAAAACTAGATATTTTGCACAATTTACAAGACCATACTTTACCCTTTGTTTTTCATTACAGACAAATTTATGGGAAGTTAAAGAATTTACAAAAATTAACAACATCCAGAAGGTACATGAATGTTGAAGCATTAATTACCACAGTGTTTCAGTGAATGCTAACTCTATATTGTGTTGTCTTACTAAGAGTTTGTGGTTGGCTTTTTTTAAAAGAGAAAAAAACACTTGTGCTGTTAACATCCATTCCATACTTTTTTTAAATCTATATTCAATATTCTCCAGGAAGACTTAACATCATCAATATCACCCTTTTTGCTCTAACAAATCTTGATCTCCAGTTTGTCTGTCTTTTGAATAATTAATGGCCTTAAAAACAGCACAATGTGCCAAGAAAGATTCATCTGCGTCTGTAAAGAGAAAGAGGGAATGAGTAGACAAATTACACCACTGTTACATTAAAAGCATGAAAAAAATTAATTCAAAGATAACAACTAAAGAAGCTAAATTGTTGTTTGTGACAAATAAATCAACTTGAAGGTAATTCATGGCATTTATTTTAAATATTAAAAAAATGCTTTCCAGGGGCTGGTTGTTCATTTACATTGTTTCTAGAGTGTATGGGGTATATGAGCAGGGTAGCACCTCTGACTGAAGGGCAAGTGGTGCTCTCATGAGTGGCTCTTCCAGTTTTGGTCCCCACCTAGACCCAGCTCCCACCAGTGGCCCCTTTTAGCTGTTTGCATGCAACGGTAGCCACATCCTGGCCAACAGCTTTTATTGGCAGGTTAAACCTGATGAGGGTAACTGACAGGCATGAAACCCTTGGTAAGTTAAAGCTTGTCTTCCTATGCATGCAATGACTGAACCCTGGAAAACCACTCAATTTTTCCCCCACATTAACTCCCACACACTCAATTGACAGTGGTTGGAATTTGTAGCTGTTACTTGTGTCAGAGCCTTTCAAAGTTCATACTAGAATTCCTAAAACATCCATTTTAGAAAATCTACACACATCATTATCTGTATTTAGTCTGTTATTCAAATATTACCCCCTGCAGCATCAGACAACTCCACCCACTCAGCTAACCACTGCACCAGTGCCTCTGGGTCAACATCAGTTGTGTCCAGGCCCCTTGAGTGACACACCTACAAAAAGGGCAAGAAAATGAGAAGGTTATACCACTGGTTATGTGTGCCTCCAGGTTAACATTACTGTCGCATAATTATATTTCTGTTTCGTCATTTTTCTCTGCCAGCCAACGAGCAACAAAAAGTAAATCTAGACCAGGCCTAAGAGAGGGTGAGGAACTAGGAATCAACCTTAAATCAGAAACCTCTCTCACCGCTTTCAGTTGATCTTCTCCGAGATTCACAAGTCCCTCTTTCTTTATAGCAACATCTTCCCTCTTAATTGATTTTACCAAACGCTTCAAGCGAATACGCAAGAATGACTTTGGTAGCCAAGGAGTGATTAACCACACTTGACTAAGTTTTTTCTGTGGAATGGAAAAAAGCACAGATTAAAATCACTTTACACCAGAAATGAAAACTGCGATTTGCATATTAGGGAGACATCAAAAGTATGATTTTACATCATACAAAAACAATGAGGATAGAAAGCTTTCTTCAGTAGTTTTCAACCAACTTCAACTACTTTATACCTCTCTTATAAATCATTATTACTATGATTTATTCAACCAAAGCTATTGCTTACTCGTATATCCCCGCTCCCTTAAATTTTCAATTTAATCCAAGTGAGTAATGCTAATTAAAACTTTATAATGCATGATGGAAAAAATGAATAGGAAAATAATTTTCTCACCAGATGATAACGTGGTAAGTGATCAAAGCCTAGAAGATTCCCCTCAAAGAATTTTGCCATTTGCAACAGCTCCTCATTGGACAAATGCTTTTTGTTTAAAGCCTAAAAAAAATTATGCCAAAAACCCAACATGGAACATGTGCAGTATCACCTAGGGCAGGTTATTCTAAAGGGAGTGGCATCAATCTAGGATTAGAAGTTAACCTTGGCTTTCATTTCATACGTAGGAGAATGCATATAAGAGCTAAGGCTTTGTTGTATCTTCTCTCAGTAAGACTCACAACTAATGAGAAAAAATAGAAAAGAAAAATTCCTTGGCAGAGCTATAACACAAAATTAAAAATTTACACTAACTCTAGGTTAGGTTAATCATGTCTTAAACCCTTTAACTCCCAAGATCTGATTATGAATTCTCCCATCTAGCTGCCTCACATTTCCTTGTAAATTGATTATGAGAATTTGGTGTTCAATCAAGGTAACAACCTCTACCTGATAAGTTTGAGTATTCTCAATACCTGTTTGCTGAATTGTGTATGGATACTATGAGGAGAAGTTACATGTTAATCACTGCTGTAAGTTAAAGGGTTAAAAACTCATCCTCAAGTTCTAAATATACGTTATTTACTATGCCTAAGGTCTTGAGTATGGCGCTCTTCAAGGTTTTTTTCTTAATATAACAATGTAATAACTTAACATCTATTTTTTCCTGCTGGTTTGTTTGTTTGTTTGTTTTTTTTTTCAACTTTGCCAGTACAGAAAAAATTCCAGACACTGGTATTTAATGCAAAAAGCTGGACTAGTTATGAGTGACCAACTAGCCCATCATATTAAAGGATTTAAGATTCTGGACCACAGAGATGCTTGTGTTACTTTAAAAGAGGCAGACAGTTAGTGTGCTGGGCTCTGAGGTTAGAGGTCTGTGTGTTATATCCCTGAGCTGACTTTGTGTGCCACTTTTTCAATTTCACCATATTTAACACCATATCTGATCTATTCCCACACAGTCCCTTGACAAAATAGAATCTATTTGGTTAATTCTTTTCCATACCTTAACTGAGGTTGACATCAGGTCTGTAGAGTATCTGCTTGCTTTATATCTGAAGGCCAATCTACCAACTTCTCTCACAAGAGGAAGCTGATATTTACTTCTTCGTCTTACATCTTGCTGAGCAAATTTTTCACGTTGGTGCGGTTGCCAATAATGATGAGACAACAGTTGTTTTGGATAAAGGAAACTGAAAATAAAGATTAGTGAGAATCTCAACCTCACTCGTAGTCATAGCTTGAAATTGCTGGTGATTTTTACTTCTTATTTCTCAGTTCACAAGAACAGCTTACATTTGTGATATCTTTTAGTTCAAAATTGATGAATCCTATTAAAAAAATGGACATGGTAGTTGACTTTGATGAGTAACTTTTCCTTAACTTGGACAAAAATAAATTATTGAAGAGGCTTCATTAATACTTAAAGAAAATGTTTTAGACATGACATAAACTTAACACCCTAACATCAACATGCATATTCTCCATACGGTTCACTATGCATGGTGCTGGCCAGGAGAATTTGTTTAATAGTCAAGAGCTTCTACTCATCATACATACAGCTCTTGCATGAAGAATATCAGGACCAAAACAATAGATTGTGTTTGGGAAAGCTGCCACTTTGTTCCAGAGTGGTATAGGGCTATACAAAAATCTTTTATAATCCAGCAAATACAATTAGTATCTGGAACAGAGTGATTTCAGATGCAAATTTGTGCTAATAACAGGGGTCGACACTAACTTTTCAACTTACTAGCCAAGTGCCTTGTGACAACATAGATGTTACAACAATTTCAGTTTGTTTACTAGTCAAACTGGCTAGTGGAAATCGAAAACCACTGACCAAAACTGAATTGTTACTAGTCTGTGGCTAGTTGGCTACTGTTAGTGTCCAGCCCTGAATAAGCACAAGTGGTTTTCGAAGACAACGATTTGCAATCTTTTGCAAATGTGCTTACACCAAATTGCACAAGAAATCATGTTGTTGTTTATTAATAATTTACAAATTGAAAAAGCATCACAGAAAGTCAAGACAAAATTTTGACAGTGCACCCTATTTGTAATTTACACTTGTGCTACAACTTTGCAATTGTGTTACACGAAATATGCACTCATTTTCAGCCATTCAGAAGGACGTAATTTTTTCATATATAACATTAAGATGTTTAACTTTAAAAGTGAAATTTTATTGCAATCCATAATTAATTTAATTTTTGAAACACTTACGCTACAAATGGAACTGCATAGCCCAGGAATGGTATGAAGAACCCCACAACCACTGGCAAACTCTTCAGAAGATCTTTTCTTGTCTATAAAGAACACAAGCAAACAGCAACCTCAACGAAGACATCTACCGGCAATTTTCCAATGAAGTAGTCTCCCAAATTAAAAGAAAAGCTCTTTCAAAATAATTTACTTTTCTCACCTGATGTAGATGTAATATTTCTTCGGTTTTCAAGATTTCCCAGTTGTAATTATTGTTCTTAAGTTTTCTCTGTATCTGAAACATCACTTTTACATCCTTTCCTAGCTGTTTACTTCCAGCAACAAATGTGTTTATAACTTTACGGAATTTTTGATATCTCGACAAATCTGCCGATCTCGCCGCATTGCTGGGTGACGTCGAAAAGTTCTTTTGAAAACCATCAGTTCGATTGTGAATAATTCCAGTAGCTCTTAAATAAGCAAATGTTCCCTGCTGAAGTCCATGGTAGTGGCGATTATTCCAAACACGAGAATACAAACATTGCAAGCGATACACACTTGATGTCGCCATGTTTCACATGTTTTCATCCAATTACCGAGCGAAACTGGGTATAGTTCTCAAGTTGATGCGAAAAGTATTTTCTTCCTCGGGAGGGGTGCGTCTCACTTTTCTAAATTTCAAAAATTAATTTTGAAAGCGAATGTTGGTATTTTAAATAGGTCAGAAAACTAATATTTGCACCAAATTTAAATTTTTTTAGGTTTACTTATCCAAGACGTTCGCTTTTTATGAAAGAAACTGTTTGAAAAATATTCTCTACCATTGTACCCTCAGTAATCTTAGATCTGCATTTTTTACCTCGCCCCAATCTTCACTCGAAAAGGATGAAGAAACATGGTGGACCGATTGCAATGTGACCAATGATTCTTCAAAATTCCAAACTCTGCAGCAGTTAGAATGTTATCTTCCAGACTCTTATTTCATAGAAGCGGCCGATCTACCATACAATGCTTTCAAATCAATGCCAAGACAATGCAAATTATTCGATTTCGTTTCCTTAACGGGACAAATTTTCTCAACAGCAGGAGCTTTCCCGATAAGTGGTTCTCGAAGGCTTCTAATTCTGTTTATGTCAAGAGCGAACGTTTGTTAAAAAATTCTTACGAGAAAGTTGGCGGACTTTTTCAAGCGTTGGATGATCTTTTAGGGATCTCCGATGTACAAGAAGCTCAGACAAGTGTAAAAAAAGCTGAGAGTGAATTCATGTCCACCCGAGGCAAGGTGCAGTCCTCCAAATCAAAACTGAACTCAGAACAGGAAAGGCTGAAAGACATTCGCCGTAAGTTGGATCGGATTCCTCGGGACGATGAACGTTATCTAACTTTAGCGACAGAAGAACACAAGATTCTGCTCGAGGAAAAAAAGTTAAAGAGTGAACATGAAGATTTGGAAGCACTGGAAAGAGACCAGTTTGCTCTCCTGTCAGGAGCTGTGAGGGATTCCCACGAGAGAGAGAGGGCAAGAGTGGAAAGGACAAAACACTGGTCTGTGATTGGCTCTATTGGTGGTGCTGCACTTGGTAAGTTAATTTGCTTGCCTAAACCCTTTTTCTTTGAATAGTGATCAAAAATGAAATTCTCCCCCACAATATCTACAGATTTTCTAGCAGAAAAATAATAAGACATCATAAAAATATTAACTAGGGTATGTTCTCTGATTAGACAGGAAATTCTCAGATCTATTTTTATAACAAATTTATTGAAGACAGTATGGAGAATTGATATGTAGATCTCAGGAGTGAAAGCTTTGACTAAGTAGTTCTAGCATAAAACAAGGCACTTGGGCTAGTCTTAAGGGTGTGCAGAAGTCAATAAGAACATGTGCATGCAAAATGACTTTCATGTGCACTCGTTATACCACATGATTGCAGTACTGCACCCTAGTTTGCAATATGTGCCTCTGAAGAGAGCTTGTCTGCACACCAGCCATGCACTGCAGACTGGCCCCTCACCATTACTTATTACTTCCAAGCTTCAATCAACCGTCACAAGATTCATACTTATATATTCCAAGTTGAAGGGTTGTACACAAAGGAAGATCAGAGACAAGTGATTCAAGGCTCTCCTAATTGTCTATTACAAGACTCCTTGTGCTTACCTACTGCTTCAAGTCACCCTTTGCTGGAAAATTGGGGGAGGGATTACAAGGTGGAAGGACAGGTTTTCTAAAGAAAAAGAAAAGAGGAAGAATTTTGGGAAGCAAGGGAATACTCTGCTCTCATTTTAATCATTATTGATATGAGCATTGGAACATCAAAGTCAGCATATCCACCATCTAAAAGATTTTTTTATTCACTCTAAAACCCTTTTACTTCCAAGAGTGATCAAGAAAATTAAGAAAATTATCAACTGAAATGTATTCTTATGATGTAACACCAAATTCTCACAACAGTTTAGCAAAGAAGTATATATTTGTCAGTGAGGGAAATTAGTTTCAGGCCTCATCAGCCTACGAGGTAATTAATCCTGATTTGTTGTAATTTTACCTGTTGACATTTCCTTTCTTTTCAGGAATCTTGGGCTCTACTCTAGTGAACTACATCCGCTTGAAGCAAATCAAGAACTCCATCAAGGAGACTGGAAGCACATTGATAGGAAAGACAGATGAGCTTGCTGATCTGGTAAAAACTCAGGAAAATCAAATAGGGACACAAACAAATGACTTAAAGGAATCTTTATCTACTCAAAGTAAATTGTTTGAGCAAAAACTTGAAGAATTAGCAGGTTTGTTAAACCTACTTACTCTAAATTTAATTTCCGATCCCTTAAAGGACTTGGGAATTCATGTTCAACCAGCTGTGGATCCTGAGCATTTTAAAAATGTACAATCTCTCATGAGTCAAAACCAAGGCAATACTGAAGAGCTGATGAAAAGTATTGTATCAAAAATTGACTCAGTTATTGAGGTCTTGAAAATTGATCAATATAAAATGAAGGATGATTTGAAGACATTGCAACAACACCTTGACAATCTTGACAGTTCTGTAGTTCACTGTGAAAACAGAACTGTGGAGGAGCTAGAAAGACTTGGTAAGTCCATTCATGCTAAGCCTTTCCCTCTCAGCAACTCTGTGGAACCTTTAACACGTGTACCTGAAAAATTTGCTGAAAATGCACAGTGGTGGTCTAAGGCAAGTACGTTTACATCACTAGTATGTACTGCATTGACAGCTTCTGCTCTTCTGTATGAGTTGTTCATTAAGTAAATGAATAGAAATTTTAGATTGTGGCTTAGTAATAAATGCAAGCTGAAATGAGGAGTTAATTTTGTTTTACATTTCTGTCTACCTTCTAACTCTTTAACCCTTTTCAACCTTCATCAGTATGCGTATTCTTGATACCATTTCTCTATACATTTCTTAAGGTGCAGAGAAAGAGAAATTGTTTACCAATAAAAAAAAAAGGTCATCTTCATGGTATACCCCAACATCAGTATGCATATTCTCCATGCTGTTCTCTATACATTTCCTAAGGTGCTGATAAGGAGAATTTGTTTACCAATCAAGAGTTTCATTAGTCAGTGATCATTTTTGTCATTCTCACAACCTCATTGTGTGATTCAGGGGTGATATTGTAAGGAGAAATTAGCTATTAGTCACTCTTAGGGGTTTAAGGATTACAGTAACCCCTAAGAATGATATAATCTTATTTCTCCCGGAAAAATCACGAATCTTGATTGTTAGGCAAATTCTCTTTTCATTTACTGTGGGAAATGAATACAGAATTGAATGGAGAACTTGCATACTGATGTTAGGTTGTAAAGGGTTAATTTAGAAGATTTTTAAGACAGGTAGGAATGTGTAAAAGTATATTTTCAAAGTATGCGTAAACACTTGGAAGAAGCCAAACTTTAAAATCATCTGCTATCCACAATGTACATTTTTATTCTTGAAAGTTAGAAATATATATAGTTATATAACATTCTTAATCTTCCTGGAGGTCTCTGAACTTCTGTAAATTTGTGTTTGTAGAAGACCTCCACACAAGACAACCACACTTCAATCTGGGATCTCTTTTAGATTAGATTTGACCGGTGGACCGTTTTATTTTCTCAGTGGGAAAACTATTGTCCTTAAAGGGAATAACTGCAGGCAATCAATATCGATAAACCAAATCCGGAATTTCTTGCAATTCTGTCAGTGGGGTACCGGAAGCAGCCTCTGGTAGGCGGCGATCAAACTGTGTTAGCATATCGAGTTGTTTCTTTTTCATGGCGAAACCGGCAGACAAAAGTTTGGAAAACTGTCTGAATATGCGATTTAAACGTAGCTGGAAAATTATTCTAGCAGTTTTCTTGTCATCGTCTTTAGCTTTGTTTATCATCGTCGCAATTGTAGTGACGAGAAATCAAGACCGTGAAGACACCAGAGGTAAGTTTTTACTTTTAGTTACGGTGCTAAATACAGTAATCTTTTCTCCTACTTTACATTCTGTAGTCTTCCTTTGCTTCCAATGCTGAGACGTTTCTAGTTAATTTGTTAGAACGTTTCATTTAAAAATGATCGTCGCTTTAAGGTAAACTAGAGTGGTAAACTATTGCGTTACCAAGCTCAAGACAACTTATAGACAGTGCAGCTGTGACAACCGGTAGTATCTAGTTTCATTTGACGGACAGTTTTCTGTCAAAGCGTGCGATTGCTCGATCAGTGGTACGAATCGTTCCCCGGTTTCCTCCGCAAAAATGCGTACAAACTCGAAAGTTTTTAAGTTCGGTATACCACTTGTTGCAATAAGTGTGCTCGTTGCAGTTGCAATAATTCTTGCCATAACTCTCTCCGGTCAACCGAGAACAAAAGGTGAGCTACGCTAGTATACCTTGAGATAATGCCAGGTATTTACTTACGCTGCCATCTGTTTGGAACTACATTTAGCGGTTTACCCATTTGACAGAGCGTTGCCTTTGCCCAAGGGAATCGCGCTCCATTATTTTCTCACAGCCCAGAGACTTGTAAAATAGTCACTGAATGGGCAATATTGAACTATCTTGAGAAGTACATCCCCTTGGCGGCCACTCCACACCTTTGTCATGTGAAAGTGTTCCTTTTTCTTTTTTTTTTTTTTTGTCAAAAGTCTTGGATGCAGGTTTGTAGTGACTTTGCTTTGTAGTCTCCATAGATCTGAATTAATGGACGAAGTGAATGCAACATGACGCAATTTTCTGCAAGCGAGCTAAATATCGGATTGTTTGCTCAAACTCTGATAATAAAAAACACCTCCTAGGTCGCCCATTTATAATTTTTGACGACACTATGTATGTTAAATTCTCTAGTTTGTCAGTTAGACCCATGATGCTCGGAGCATCTCAATCCCATTATAGGACTACTTGAATATTGTTTTTAAAAGGTTCGGTTAATTAAATAGTTACTAAAATATTTGGTTTATTTAAAGATGGATAAATTGTTGTTGGTTTCGCACAAATGCACAAATGACGCCGTGTGGAGTTAATTTGCTTACATTTACTTGAGGCTTACACTTTGCTTTCTAAACTTGTTATCGCATTCCATATCTGATCTCGTGGCATGGCCTCTATCTTGTTTGTTATTTTTTGTTTTGTTTTGTTTTTTTTTGTCTTTGTTTTTTTGTCTTTTTTTTTTTTGTTCTTTTTTTTTTAACTCCTTTTGATTAGTCAAGTAAACGAAATTCAATTTATTCACCTTAGTTTTACTGCGTACACAACTATACCGGCTTGACTGTTCAGGGAACGCTAAATGTCACACAAAGAATGGTACATTCTTAGTAAGCGATTCAGAAGAATAAAGTTTAGCAGCTGTGTTAAGGCTAAACGGAATCTAGTTTTCGGTTTCAAAAAGATAATACAAAAGTCGTTTTCAAGAAAGCTGTCTAAGTCAATGTGCGGCGTACCACCGAAAGGACTGGCGCGCTTAATCGCTTCGTGCTGTTACCAGACGACAGCTGCAAAAGAGACTCTCCAACTATTAGCCATTTTAAAAAATAAATTTTGTAAAGGTTTTTTATACCTTGTACCTGTTTTTAACTTTTTTTTTTTTTTTTTTTTTACTGCCACGGGGGCTCGTAAAGAAGGACCAGAATCTCTCAAGAAGCCGTTCAGATTTGACGACATTTTCAACGGCTATTACTCCTACTCCACATTTCCTGTCCGATGGAAGACAGGTGAGTGCGAGAAAGCCTCGTTGATTGTACTACAAAATGATTAAGGGGGCACTTAAGTAAAACTTTGTAAAGAGGATCAAAGGCGATTCCAGGAAGTTTGAGTCGGGGAAGAGAAAGATTCTTTTGCTTTTTTCTGCATCATTTAGAAACAGTCCAATAATGAGTTCATTTGCTTCCGCAGACGACACGTATATCCGATATTCTAAAGGCAATTTGACGGTGACTAATGTTTCAAAGACCGAAACTGTACTTTTTTCTGATTTTAATAAAGTAATGGTAAGTACACATAACCACCTAGTTTTCGTGTTTTTTTTTTGTTTTGTTTTTTGTTTTTTTTTGTTTTTTTTGTTTTACATTTTTAACCGTTACAATAGTTGTAAAGGGTCTATATCCAAAGCGTTTCCTCCCTTCCAAAAGGGCCCCTGTTGAACTTGTCGCGCAAGGAGAAAAGTATACCTTGTCACACAACGTCTCGAAAAGTGGGATTCTATTTCCTTCCAAGCTGTCGCTTACCCAGTTATTTGCGAGAAAAAATTAATTTACCTTTCTTTCACTATTTCATTTTGGTCTGAGGTTACAAGTGGGAAAATAAGAATTGTTTCCTTTGTTTATTTTTTCCCATGATAGGTTGATTTCAACGTTTCTAATTATTGGATTTCGTCGAATGGAAAATGGGTTCTTTTGGCTTCCAATAGGAGAAAGGTACAACCCCATAAAATTTCGTGTATATCTTTTTCGTCCTCAAACAAGTGGATGATTAAAATAGGTTCTTGATTTGCAGCGGTTTAGCAGGCAGGCACAAGCTTTACTGTTCCCATATAAACTCGAGAAAGGAGAAGTCTTCCAGTGCGCCAAAAAATCACTTGCGTAGCGTTAGGCTGTACTTATCATTTACCAAGTTTGTATTACCATCTCGTATCTTCTAAGGAGCCGACCATTTAACTTTTGAGGGGGTGGGGTGGGTTATTTCTGGTCATCAAGAAATTTCTTTTCTAGTAATCTGCTGGGCAGGATATTTTTTCCGTCCTGAATGCTCTTTTTTTCTGTTACATTTGGGCTGCATGCAATTTTTTTCTTCCAACAAGCGCTTGCAGAAATTTTTTTTTTTAAATCACCCACCCCATCCCCGTCAAGAGTTAAATGGTCGGCCCCTAATCGGGTTTGTGCTCGAGCAGATCCCAGGTGACACAGGCTAGGTCACGTGAATGTCTTTCATGATGCCCAGAGAATGATGTAGCTCGCCAACGATTTCCCTGTAACCGTGACTTAGCAGCGCATCTGATTGAAGGCTTTAAGAGTCCGCACATAGCTCCCAAAGTTTTCTCCGTCCCACGCTCGAGACAACTTGTAATATTTCCCTCTAGATAAACATCAATCAGTGTTCAGAGAAGCTAGTCATTCACTATAACTCTCAGTCGAAAGATTAAAATATCTTTTGATGTTTGTCTTTTAGTTGTATCGCAGGTCTTTTTTCGCTGATTATTACGTGCACAACTTTGAAAAGGGGTTTGTAGAGAAATGTTTCTTGTTTTAAAAATTGTTTAAAGAATTTTCATGATGGAAAGCAGTTCTTAAAACTGTCCTCTTCTGTTATCTCACCCAAGTTTTTATCTCGCATTCCAGTTTAACTGAGTCATTTAGCAAAAGCTTTGAAACTGGAAATTCGACTTAGAGAAACATGTGTACCATATTTTCTTTGGAATATTGTAAGAAATTTAACTGTGGTTGTTATTCTCAAAGTTACCTTGTTCCTTTTCTGTCGACCTTCGTTTCAGATCAACTTCTCAAGTCATACCACCTGATCCAAATAAACAGATTCAGTTGGCAATATGGGGAAATAATGACACCTCTATAGTAAGTAGTCCGCACAAAGTGCTACATCGTGCATTAGAGACGAACTGTTTTTAATCAAAGGCTACCAAAATGCAACACGATCCCCTCATGTTTGCGCATGTAGCTCAAACTTGTCTCGTGCACCTATATACATATTAGGAACCATTTCTAAAAGAACGGTATGACTTATTTCAACCCCAGATTTCCTTAAAGGTATTCACGTGACAAGAAAACCTAAACTTCATGTTGCCCATAGAGTCAGTGACGCAATAACTTTAGCGTCATTCATTAAAGTTGTTAGCCGTTAATCATCTTAACCGGCACTTACACGCAAATTTACCCCCTAACATGTTACGAACCTCTTTCCCCACCTTTTCCCCCGCCATTTTTATTGGAAATTGACACTTCCTAAGGGAAAGATGTCGCAAGATTGCTGACACCCTCAATTTTCTGATGCTTCCTGGAATATGTTCTGTCTGAAAGGGCTTTGTACAAGATAATAACATTTACTGGTTGGACAAAATTGGAGGCACCGTTCATACCATAACGGAAAACGGAAAAGAGAATGAGCTTTTTAATGGCGTTCCTGACTGGGTCTACGAAGGCAAGTAACATGTGACTGTTTAACACTCGTTGTCTACTCAGAAGAGGTCTGTGTAAGTTTCTCCATAGTGAGCATTACATAGGAGCAAAAATAGAGTGGTGTCGACTTTAACTTCAAGTTCTCGTGAACTTCCTTTAAAAAATCTTAACTTTCATTTCTAGAGGACGTTACGTCCACAAATGTAGCCATGTGGTTCTCCCCAGACGGCCGATATCTGGTTTATGCACAGTCCAATGATACTCAAGTAAAGTGGTTTCCTTACATGTGGTACGGTAAATATTCTGATATGTACACCACAGTGAAGAAGATAGCTTACCCCAAACCTGGCTCACCAAATCCCGTTGTAAAAATCAAAATGGTAGACTTGAACAAGCTACCAACCAATGAAAGCCAAGTGCCTAATACCATGGACTTAAATCCACCAGCTGAGTTTACAAACATGTAAGTGCTTCCCATTACTTGTTAGGAACAACTAGGTGAGATTTGTAGAGATGATGTTAGATATCGGGTATGGAACACTTCCATGGGATGCCGGGTAGAAGATACGAGATGTGAAATGTGAGATGTGTGATGTGATATTTAAGATACAAAATACGAGGTATGAAGTGTGGGATGTGAGGATGTGGGATGTGCTTCTATGAGAATTGAGATTTGAATCATGGAGAAATGTACGCACATGTGTATTTACACTGGCTGAAAAGTCAGTATCTACCTTGACATGTCCCCTTTCCTTCATTCGTCCCCCTCTCCTTACGCCCCTCCCTTTTTCTCGTACCCTCTGATCCCCTCCGCAATTAATGTTATTCTCACTATCCAGTAAATGTTTTATTCTAGGAGAGATCCGAGAACGGATGTTATCGGTAGTGGTGACTGACGTTCGATAAGCTAAGCGGAAGTCATCATCACAGTCGTATGTTTGTTTCTGGCATTTTCTCATGTTTGATTGAACTTTTTTTATCAGAGAACATTACTACACCAATGTAGGATGGGCGTCAAGCACTAAGGTGTTGATTTGGTGGCTGAACCGAGTTCAGGACACTTTTATATCATCCATCTGTGACGCTCCATCCGGAAGGTGTGCTGAGGTAACAACAAACAAAGTATTGTCAGATGGCGTTATGTCTTTAAATGCAGACAAATTTTCCGCTTTATTTCTGCACAAAAAAATTGTTGCTTGTTGCACTTGTTAGGCTGTAGGTTGGAATAATTGGTCAACGAATTAATTCCTATATAATGTTCACGTCACAGATATTTCGCTCGGAAATATAATTTATAGTTTTTTTCTGTTTTTTTATATTTTCTTTCAGAATCAAAAAACTCAGGTGACAAACGGCTGGGTGGATACCAAAACATACCTGGTGGGTCTGTTAGCGAGTAGTGTCATCTATATCGTTGCGATTTTGTATATTTAACAATTATTCCACGAGCGCGCGTTGGATATGAGATGATAGA